AAAAACCTCCATGTGAGATCGTAAAGGAAGCCTGAGGAAACTGAAACTGTCACATGACTCCTATCTTATCCCTGATTGGTGGAAATGGTAGTGTTACAACTAGCCCCGTGTTACAACCTTCCCCGGTTATGGCGGCATATAATGTCAATAATTGCGAGAAAATTTAAGATCCTCGCGAGAGGAAATGAGATCCGTGCGCGCACAAGCGAAAGCCGCACGCGCGCATATTACTTTTGCGCGCAGAATTTCTCTGCTCGCGCGAGCAGGATTGTAACCCGCGAGGAGAAAACTGTGCTTTGAGCGCGCGCAGAATCCCATGTCCAAGTCCTTGCTCTGCTGCTCGCGAAACTTTAACCTGCTCGCTCGCTCGCGGTTAATATTTTTGGCAGTAGGTGGGCGGATCCAGTCGGCATCATTTCACTACACATGATTGGTTACAGTTCCTGTCTTCTGTGACTGGCTGTACCATTTCTCTGTGTGCCAAATTATTCAAACATGGAAAAACTTTATATTACTGTTCAACTGTGACTTTATAATTTCCAGTAATAAAACATGAATTTATTTCACTTCTTAAGTTCAAGTAGTAGAGAGATTAAAGGCTCTTCCCTGGTTGACATTTCTGTATTATTCTTTATTCTAATATTCTGAGATATAGAGTTTTGATTTCCATGAGCTGTAATCATTGGCAGAACTATTCAGATAATTTAATAATTAATTTAGTAAAAGTAATATCACACTGTAAATTTAAAATAGTTCGGTAAAAAACCTCATGCAAATAAAGCTGGTGAAAGTGTGTTTCCATTAAACGGCTTTAAAGCGAATAAAAACGCGCGGATCTCATTTCCTCTCGCGAGGATCTTAAATCTTCTCGCGATTATTGACATTATAATGCCGCCATACCCGGTCTCCCCCTACTGGTCCTATGAGGATTCCACTGTAGGCTGTGTGCAAGTATAAAAACCCTGGAGATGATTCTTTCAGCTCTCTCTTCAGTGTTAGCATGTAGAGTGTTGTTTTTTTTGCAAGTAGAGTTCACTTTCGATCAGTCACTCCGAATTACATCAGTAACTGACGAATGGGGGTTTCGCTTAGAAGCCTATCACCTTCGAGTTCATACAAAACGAGCCAATGGCAAATCAAGGCCATGGGTCTGCGGAATTTGCATTGCGCAACTCCGCCCCACCGCGTGTAACGAGCAGCGCGGCAAATCTGCACAGTCTCGCGTTAGGGCCCTTACATAGTCAACGCATCGGTACGCATACGCAAGTCTACACATTGCTACGCTTCGGCCGCCATTATACGTCGATGCGTAGCCAAATGTGTCATCCTAGTTTTTGATACGCGACGCGCCGATGCACGCAATACTATGCGTTGTCGGTGGGGGTGACATTGCAAGTAATGTACATAAAAAGGTATATTATTATGTTTACAGAAGAAGAAGATTTGAATACAATGGCGGGCGAAGAGGAAAAGTTATGCGAGCTTGTTCGTATACATCCTTTGTTGCCGCCGATGTAAAATCAGCAATATGCACTCCTCTTCAGTTGCCATTTTGATCTGAATATCACGTGACCCGACTCTAGACTCTACTACCCCGCGCGATCGGTGTATTGCATTTCACGCATCGCCGGTGACGCTTGCGTCTGCTTGCATACTATGAAAAGGAGCGTGTAGCTCGCGTCACTCGCGTTGCTTGCTCGCGTTGACTATGTAACGGCCCTCATGGTTTTGCTTCGGAGTCAAGGTATTCTTCACACCTCTCTACTGTAAGTTGTCAACGAGTTCTATATACGAGACTAGCGACTTTTCAGCGGTGCTGTTTGAGACGGCGTGTTCCAGCGAGATCTCATTCCTGCTGCTGGTCTGTGCAGTGATCTGAATTTTAAAACATACAATTTCAATTTGCTTTTAGTTAGTGTTACGTATTTGGCAACGGCTCTGTCTGTAATAAAGTACATATATAAATAATTCCAGGTCTCCCCCACATACGATGAAGAATCCTCTTTGATTTTAAAGGTGGAGTAAGCGATTTCTAAAAAAAAACGTGCCTGTTTTGTGTGTGCTATAAAAAAAAAAAAGTAAGGATTATGTTTGGTAGTTGTTGTTGCAACCAACCACGAAAACAAACATTGATGCATGTTCATATTAGAAAAGCTTTCTAGCACTGGAGAGATATTAGAAACCAAGAAGCCCTGAGAATGGACACAGAGGTTGCTTCATTTCTATTTAATATGGGAGTAACATTGGTTTTGCTATTGGTTTTTACAGAACCAAAATATGCCGTTGGTGAATCACAGTTGATTCGTCCACACTTGCGCAAGCTGTCTCTGTTATGACATGCCAGTGGTAAGTTGGTGTTTATTATGTTGAGGGGTGAGTTTCTTTGGGTGTGTAATTCAAATACCAAAAAATACCAACAGTGTTTCTCAGAAATAATATCCTTGCAGGATAATTGGATGAAATTACTACTAAATTAATTATTATTGATATATTTTGTAATCATGATTGTAATCATGATTGACATTTAGGACTGAATGATTAGGATCCTCCCAAAACCTGGAATTTCATAAAAAAATTCTAGACCATGTCTTTGATCTGTGTATGTTTATTTCCTCTACAGGACTTTCCATCGATCTCACAATGGATAGCCAAGGTATAAACGTTTTTTTCAAATAAATTAAAGATCATTTTGTGTTTGGTTTTCAGTCAGTGATTGAGGAAATATAATGAGTGGAATTAATTTTCTCACAGGTACTAAAAGAAAGCGTGATCATGAGTCTAACTCGAGCAGAGAGTCACCGCTGACAACAGGCAAGTAAAATGTAAATTGGTCCGAAGTAGCGAAGGTAATTAAAAAAACAACAACAAAAAAACGGTAATTTTCTGGCAGCAGAGTTTCCAGAGAATTGAGGCCACGTCCACACGAAGCCACACTTTCCTTATCTGATCTTTTTTCCCCCTTGTTCTAAAAAAATTTCTGTAAACACGGCGTCAAAAGAATCTGTGTACACACGAAACCACTGAAGCCGACTCAAAACAATGTAGTTTTGACATGCCAGACCAATATGTGGTGCTGTAATTCTGCTACAGAGATACTCAAACGGAGAAGACTTGGAGCATGCGCATAAACCTTGCACACTGTACACAATAAGTACAGGCTCAGTAGCTTCTACTTTTTACTTATTTTAAAAAAAATGTATACCAAGAACTTTATTGAACAATCTAAACCATAAATGGCCTGGTACAAAATATGAAATGTCTAAAAGCTACACTGTGTGAGATTTTCTCCCATCTAGCCTGAAATTGTCTATATGACTACCAATTGAATGTTACTTTCTAGCCCCTCCCATTCCAAGGGCGTTTACCGTGGCCGTATTATTCCAAGATTAACATGGCTTCCAGTTTGACTTCGTCCATGAGTGTTCCTTCAAGTGTTACTCGCTCATATATATTCTGAATGGCAGATTTTACGCTTAAGAGAATACTGGATTAGTTGGTGGAAGTAATTACACATGAATGAGCACATATGATTTTGAAAGAAAGTGGTTTTTTTTTTTTTTTGTTGCTAATAATCAACTTAAATTACACAGTGTAGCTTTAATTAGTGATGGCGAGATGAAGCTTCATAAAGCATTGAAGCGTTTCATCCAATTGGTTCACTCATGTGCCGAAGCTTCATGGTGCTTCATTTGCTCTATTGTGCCATCAAGTGGACAATAAATGTAAAACGTGCAGTGTGATTATAATGACACTATGGCTTTGGTGTCTGAAGCATTGAATGAAGAAAAAGAAGCTTGAATAGATCGCTAACAAACTCGCAAAGTCCCAAGTCCACAAAATGTGAGGGGGCATCCATTGCATTTAGCTGGCCCTTATATTTCAAATAGACCGCCAAACCGCGAACCACTTCCTGAAGCAGTCACGTGGCACACGCGGCTCGCGAGGCTTCAAACGTCACCACATACGTCACCGACACAAGCCTCGATACGCGCTTCACAGAAATCATCCCGGATTACTCGACACACGCTTCGAAGCCTCGATACGGGAGGACACATCACTAGCTTTAATCAGACAACAGACAAGCATCATTGCATAAGAAAGAAAATATAAATAAAGAAGTAACATAAAGAAATAAAATAAAATGTAAATGAGTAAAGAAATAATAGGCTCAGTAGTGTCACAATTATGTTCTGTCTAGTCTGCACCTGTTCTAGTTAGTCCCTGATTGATTACTTTTCCTTTCTACACCTGTGTCTAGTTAATTTCCTCATTTCCTCCTGTGTATTTATACTCCATGTTCTGTTCAGTCCCTTGTCGGTTCTCGTTAATGTTAGATGTGGTTGTGTATGTCCTGCCTTAACTCCTCAAGAAAAGTTTGTTTAACCCGGATCTTCGTCTTGTGCCTTCAACTTCCACCACACCGTTACAAGTAGCTTCTGCAGCACGAACACAAGCATGTAGTCCGCAGTTGTTGTTGCTGTTATGTGACGTAGCTGTGTCTGACTAGGGACGACACGTGGGGTGTTGGCATCATCTTTTCACAAAATCTACGGATTGGACACAAAAATGCAAGGGTGTCATTTTCAGATTTAACCACTCTGGGACTCAGTAAAAAAAAAAAAAAATCGGTTTCATGCTCCCAAAATGCTGCATCTGTGGACGAAACACTAATATGATACAAAGGCTTAAATGATTAATTAAACGACTGTAAGCTTTCCCCAGTTTGAGAACCACTGGTTTAGAAGAAAATAAAATCAAAGGAGCCTTTTACCCCGTAGAACCTTTAGCCCCGTTGCTTGTACCCTACAATTAAATGTCTGTGATTAATTTTTTTTTTCATTTGAAATATGACTGGTCTTTCATAGCTGCCAATGGAGAAAGATGAGGTTTGCCCATATACTGGTGTAGTTATGGCACCTATCAGCAGGGGCTAACTGGATTATGATGATCTGTTACATATTCGTCTGCACATTGTGAAGTTTTATAAAGTTAATGTAATTTAAATAATGCATTGTGATTCTCTTCTTCATTGCACACAGTTGTGGAGATCATGGAGAATGCAAAGAAAATCATGAAAACAGTCACTCATAACTTAGATCAAGCTTTCATGATGCACAGAGACATCATTTCAAAGATAAATCAAATGGATAAAATCAGAAGGAAGAAGGTAACCATTGGGATTTTTGGAAAATCAGGAGATGGAAAGAGTTCCTTATTGAATGCAGTCCTGGGGAAAAAGGATCTTCTGCCATCTGATAGCTATGGTGCCTGTACAGCCATTGTTACTCGGGTGGAAGCCAATCTGGATGATGCCAACTACATAGCGGAGATTGAACTCTTCTCTAAAGAGGTTTACTCATTTATCTTACCATGCTTTTAATTACATTGGCTTGACAAAGCCAATATACTGATCTAATATTAAAGCTTATTACTATTATTATTTGCAAATATTTAAACATTATATCGTCCTAGTGCTTTCAAGCTACAATCACCAAACTCGGGTCAGACCTCAGACTTGATCTGACTCGGTGAGCTATATCTTTTTTAACTGATCCAATATAAAATCAAAACTCCGAAAAGTTTCAGACTTTCAATGAGGGGGCCTAAACTTTTGAACAATAAGACGCATAGAATATTAAAGGTGTCTATCACTAGCAAATCTTAATGACTATCCTAGGACAACATTTTAATGCTAGCAACATGTTAAATCATGTAAGCAACATGCCAATTCATGTTAAATCATGCTAACAACATGCTAAAATGTGTTAAAGGGATGCTAGTAAAATACTAAATCATGTTAGCAGCATGCTAATTCATGTTAAAACGTGATCGCAACATGTTAACAGCATGTTACCAGAATGTTAAAACATGCTGTTATCATGATTTAGCATGTTGCTAGCATGTTAAAACATGTTAGCAACTCTTTAAAAAAAATGTTATCAACATGCTATCATGCTAACAGTGTGTTCAAAAATGTTAGCAACATGCTAATCAATGAAAACAAAAATGTTAAAACATGTCAGCAAAACATGCTAATTCATGCTGGTAACATGCTAGCAAAATGCTAAAAAAAATTACTTTCTCTGAATAAGATCTTCAAACATTAAGCTGTTCAAGGTTATTTTAAACTTTCGGACCTGGCTTTGTCAAGCCAACATCAAAGTTTGTCATCAAACTTTACTAATTTATTTACTTTTATTGTTGTATAACTGTAAGTAAATCAGATAGACAGAGGGAAATAAAGCTTCATGTTCTATATTGTCCCTCTGCAGGAGTGGGAGAAAGAGCTCAAAGATCTTTTCAGAGTTTTGTCTGATGAAAGTGAGGACAGGAATGATGACTTGTTTGAAATTGCTGTAGAAAAGATCACTGCGGTGTATGGAGCTGATGCAGACAGGAAAACATTAGAAGAGCTCCAGAAAGATCACACATTTTTTGACATTGAAACCTTTTCTTTCAGCAAGAAAATAATCTCACACTCTGATGTAAGTTTTTAGGAGACTAAATGTTTCATTTTTAACACCAGATGTTTCATAACAATGTTAAATGTATATTCAGTCTTGCTTGTGAATTAAAAAACTTTATTGTCTCCACAGGTCTCTGAATTTACCAATAAAGTTGCATGTTACATACAACACAGTGAGGCCAGTCATGGTGGCTGGTACTGGCCGCTTGTGAAGAGTGTGACAATCAAAACTCCAGATTGTCACGAACTCCTGGAACACATTGCGCTTGTTGATATTCCTGGGACGGGAGACTGCAATACGGTTAGAGATGATCTGTGGAAATCTGTAAGTATATAATACTCTTTTGAAACAAACATTGTACTAATTAATCATCATAGAAACACAATCAATTATGCTACTAACCATGTCATCTAAATCACTATTTCAAATGCTGTAGAACCTGAGAGAATGCTCTTTTGTTTGGATTGTAAGTGCTATCAATCGAGCAATCAAAGACAAAGAACCCTGGGGGATTTTAAAGCACTGTATTGAAGAATTGGGACCAGGTGGAAAGTGCAAGCACATTAATTTCATCTGTACAAAGACTGATGAGATCAATGCACCAGGCTATATGAGGTATTTTGTGATGTGCATAAATACAGGGCTGTGATGGTCTAATTCTAAGTCTGACATGAGGTACATGGTACCTATATACAGCATATAGATCAGCATTTTAAAAACAACAACCCTTTGTGACTTCTGAATTATTATTATTATTTTTTTTTTTAGATCTGCAAAGCTTCCAAGACAACTCAAAGGAAAAAAGGTTTGGAAAATTTAAGATAGCATTCACTGCTCCTTGAGTAAATTTGCTGGTCAATGAGATTTTTCATATCATTGTAACTGCAATTTAACGAATGTAACAATTTACTGAGGAAAAGAAAAATCTACTATGTACAGTATAGTACATAATCAATAATTGAATCAGATTTAGACTATTTACATTCATACATTGGTGTTTTTAATCATTCTTCAGGATCAGAAAAAAATGTGCATTCTTCATAGAAATAACCATGCCAAGACGGATGTCAAAAAAAGGCTAGAACAATCTGATATTAAGGTTTTTATATTTCATTTTCCTTATTTTCATCAATATTTTCAATGATTTCTACTTGGAACTCCACACTTTGCAAGTTGCTGATGCTAAGGTGATGCGTCCCTCAGAACCTGGGCTGCGTTCAGCCCCGACAAAACGTTCCACAACGTTTTTTTAAACTGCAACGTTGATGCGTTGAACACACTGTTCTGATGACGCAAGAGTTGCAACTGGCAGCTGAGAAGGCTGTTCTTTGTGAAGAATTTTCAAAGCCTGATGAAGTCGGTATAAATATGTGTTTAATACTACAAAATATTCCGATGTTACAGTTACTGCACTTGCCGCCCAGGCCAGAACACAAGAGAACATCCCAATCGAGAGAAGGGATTTGTGGAAGCTGAAATGGAAGCACACATCCTACCTAATTCAGACTCAAACACATCTATTTAGCCTCACATACTGACTTTATTTGTAGTTCATACTGTTTTAATACCCTGTATTTTCTTTCTCATTTTTAGGAAAAGCACTTAATTACCATTGTTTATTTCTATACCAAATGCCATACACTTGCAATGAAGCTAAAAATATAAACAACTACATCATTATGTTTATATCCTATATTTTTACAATAAAATTTACGACAAACATGTCTTCTAATATCCTCAGTTGTTGCGTATACCGAGCTGCATCGAAAACATTTGTAAATTACTTTCCTTGAACCCATTGTGCGAGTTCACTTTAATACCACGTGCTTTATATACATGTTGCTGCTGATTGGACTGCAGTTCTGACACACCCACCAAACAAGAGAAAACATATCTCAAACCCCGTTGCACACCGGTGCACGCCGTTTCCAGGAAACATGACGTTCAACCCGGGAACCGTAGCAAAGCGTTGCGCACCGTTTTGAACTTAAACGTGCCCCTGGTGTCTGAAGCATCAGTATAATTAGTTTGCTGTGGGAAGCCTCTTTCTTTTCTGATTTTCTTTCGAGGGATGATCATTTCCTAGTGCCAATAACACTGAACTTTCTAGGGAACAAGACTGTGGTGTCACAGGATGTGTCCTCACACTCAAGTCCTTCAGTGCTTAGTCCGGCAAGTTTGTGCTTAGACACCTTCACATCGCACAGGCCGGAATTGGTCAGCATGGCGTAGTGGGTATTAACATCCCCATTCCATCATTAACCGAGTTCCCTCGAAAAGGGAATGTCTGGGAGTTACGTACGTTATGGTCCATGTGACGTCACACTGCTGTCAGACAAAAAATATTGTGTGATTTCACATGTGCTTCAGACACCCGGTTCCATGGGACAAGTCCCCATAGCATCAGCAACTGACACAGCATCTCATTCCCTTCTCAGGGAACCGGGGTTACATATGACCCAAATAAGTTTTCTTTAACACTGTCTATTATTCTTTTCTTTCTTTTTTTCTTTCTTTCTTAGAAAATATTCAGCACTGACAATGATTTTCAAGTTTTTACTGTAAGTTCCACTGCATTCTTTGACCCCGAATTAAATCTTGAACCTAGTGAAACAGGTAAACTAGTCCCATTGACTTTATTTTATCATTATTCATGACAAAAAATATATTTTTGACTAATCTGAAGATTTAATTATTTATGAACCAGACAAAGCTCTTTTCAAATTAATCTAAATCATACCATTGTGTTTTGAAAACCGTGTATATCTGTAGATATCCCAAAGCTGCAGGATGATCTGATGATTCTTAACAAGAACATAAAGAGAGAACTGACCAGAGATTATGTCAATGAAGCAAAGGGAGTTTTGTCCTTGATCCAAAGTGTTCAACAGGATACAGAAAAGAAAACGGTATGATATTTCACATGCAGATTTTTTTCAGAATGCATGCCACTATGTATTATTCTGTAATTCTCTCCTGTTGTATTTTAGAATGAAACAAGAGACAGCATTCACAAGGAATTAAAGAATAACCTAAAGAAGGCACTGAATGAATTGGACAATAGTTTTGACAACATTTATAGGGTTCTGGAACAACTTCTCTCAAAGGGAGTGGAAAATTCAAAGCAATCGTGTGTTGCTACCACAAAGGCCGAGATAGTACTCGTAAGTGTGATTTAAATGTTCTACAAAATGAATCGCAAATTTCTTGACATTTTAACACTGGTATTTTTTGTGTTGTCACTCAGAATAAGGATGGAAGACGTTTCCATAAAATCCTTCAAGCTTTGTGCAAGAATAGAGGGGACTATTTGTCGAGAAATAGGGATGTATACATAGACCTAAACAAGGCATTGGCCAAAAACCTTCATGAGTGTCTTCAAGAAGATTTCAAGAAGATTTTTCCGTACGAGCTTATTTATCATTCTATTTCTAGGTCCCCCTTTCTTTCGTTTAGAATAAAATGAGACTAAAACAACCCACAATGCTTGGTCAGTGACTAACAAGATTGTAAATGTGAACCAACTGTAGACTGCATGTAGCTAGAGCACTAAACTAGCAAATGCCCAGAAAGAAACGGATGATCATGCCAGCTTAATTTGAGGCCATATGTTTTATAAAGTGAACAACATCCCCATGTTTGTGTCGTATGAAGTCTGAGCAGGATTAACAATATGATTGGGCTTGTACAGTTTTCCTTTTAGCAACAAGTCATTCATGGCAGCCACATACATGCATCCCTAATGTGTTTTCTGGTTCAAATCTTTCATTCATCGCCTGACAGCTGCATAGGTTCAAAAGAAAATGACATAGGGCTGTCACGGTTCCTCAATTAAATTTGAGTACTCCAAGTAAAATAATAATTCCAAATGTTTTTGAAACAAAAAAGCCTGTTGAATTGCACTAGGCCTACTTGAAAAGAAAAAAATGCATTGCATTAACCATACTTGCATTTTAATGCATTGTATTTTTAGGGATTGCATTTTTATGGGTTTGGTTGAATATTTAAGCTGTGAATATTTTAAATTCAAAACATTTCAAATACATTTTCATTTATTAAAAATTCAATAATCCATATTCACCTTTCATATTTCACTTTCAAAATATTCAAACTGTTTAAAAATACAACCTATAATATTCAACAGGCAATTTTCGGTACAATTTATTTCGCTTTGTAAATTCGCTTCCACAAATTCAGTGGTTCAAATTCGACGGTAAATTCAACGTTGACATCCAGGAACTGCAGGAAAAGCAGTAGATTACCGAGCATTAGTGATGGGTGGATCGATCCTGAAGTATCGATACTTCGATACTGACGTGGCATCGAAAAAGATCGATCCTCACATAAAAATATCGATCCAAATGTGTATTTTTTTTAACAGTAATTTTTTATTAATTTAGCACGCAATTCAGTGCGTAAAATAAGCTTCTAAGTGGAAAAATAAGCGAATGTTAGCGGGTAATTGTGTAGGATAGAACCTTTTCTCCTAGTCATCTGTATACAAGACGAAACCAATCAATCACAGAGAGCGTTTGATGCTGGTGCTTCGCTGAGCTCACAGTAGGGTTGCCAACTGTCCCGATTTAGCCGGGACGTCCCGATTTTTGGGCCTAATTTTTTGTCCCGATCGGGACCTCTCTTGTCCCGATTATTGAGTGCTGCGCCGATCTGACTGATACAACACCAACACGACACGTAAATTAGTTCAAATCTCCTAGAATCTAGAGCTGCGCATGCGAGACAGAACATAGCCTACTGTATGTGCGTCAGCGCCAAACTGTGAGAGAGAGAGAGAGAGAGAGAGAGAGAGAGAGAGAGAGAGAGAGAGAGAGAGAGAGAGAGAGGGAGAGAGCGAGAGACCTTGCCTGCGAGATCCCCCCCCCCCCCCGTCAACAAACCCGAAATCGTAATATGTCCCGCATTTTTCTTTTCGGAAGTTGGCAACCCTAGCTCACAGGCCCAGTGCGTTTGGGAAACGAAGCCTTGCTTAGATGACAGAGAAACAATCGGGAGTTATTTCGCAATAAACAAACCAAAACTGTACATAACGGTTTAAAATGTTGGCGTCAGTAAGATCTTTTTTATGAAATTAATATTTTTATTCAACAAGGATAGATGCATTAAATTTATCAAAAGTGACAGTCAAGGGTTTTACACTGTAAAAAAAAATCTACTTCATATAAATGCTGTTCTTTCAACTTTGTTCATCAAATAATTCTGCATAAAATGTATCATGGTTTCCAACAAAATATGAAACTGTTTTCAACATTGATAATAATAAGAAATGTTTCCTGAGCAGCAAATCAGCATATTAAAATGAATTATCATCATGACTGGAGTAATGATGCCGAAAATTCAGCTTTGATCACATGAATAAATTAGTTTACTATGGCATAGAAAACAGATAGCCTATGTTCAATTTTTAAATTTTAATATTACAGTTTTTACTAAGAGAAATAAAAATCTTACAGACCCCAAACTTTTGAACAGTGGGATAATACTAGTAGGCTAGTCCTATAATTAGGGTAGTTTTGTAAAAGTCACTGACTAATTAAAGGGGAGTTGAGAGCACAAATCACAAAATATTTAGGCCTAGTAGTCATGAAAACGTGTTCAGATTTAGCATATTAATGATGCATTCACCTCATAAATCATGACACACTGCTCTAGCACAGGAAAGTGCATACAAGTTCAAATGCATGCTTTTCAAATGAAAAAGTATCGGTATCGGTATCGATTTGTATTTACTTAGTATCGGATCGATACAGAAATTTGCAGTATCGCCCATCACTAACTGGCATAAAGTTGGCTTGACATTGGACATTCGCACATTTAGGGACCGTCTCTAAAGTTACATACGACATTGGTATTAACGTTTCAAACTTCAATAGCATTTGAAGAGAATGACTTGGTCATAAAACCAACTGTAAAGTGTTCATGTAGGTGTCAGGCATAATGCACACCTTTTATATTTTTTATATTTATTCAAATAAATTGAAGTTTGCTTTTGAAGTTAGAAACGTGTATACCAATGTTGTATGCAACTTTAGAGACGGTCCCTAAATGTGCGAATGTCCAATGTCAAGACAATTTTACATTTACATTTAGTCATTTAGCAGACGCTTTTATCCAAAGCGACTTAAACTAACAATAGGACAACAATATGCAAGTGGTGTGAGCGTTCCCAGTTTAATCTAATGCAGTACATGTAGTCATATAGAAGAGAAAGTGTTAGTATTAATTGATCAAGTGTTGATTTTATGCCAGGATATCACTATTCTGAGTCCATCTGCTTGCCTATATAGTACAGCCATCCCCAATAAGGTGCGAGTTTGGTCTTTTATATTACTGTATTAGTCCATTAAGCTACGTTAAGCATTTTGTCCCGATGGAAGGGGAATCCTTGAGTATGATGAGGTATTGAGGGAAACCGATTATAATCCCATTAATGGTAGAGAAAGCGTACTCGGTTACTAACGTAACCTCGGTTCTCTCTAGAGAGGGAACGAGTACTGCGTAATAGCTTTACGCTAGGGGAAAAACTCTTTTCCACGAGATATTGAAGCCAAAAATTATCCTTAATTTTTTATTAATGTAAAACGCTTTGCAGCAGCAAGCAGACATAGGCGAAACAGCTCGCGCGCCTATTGGTTGCTCTTGCGGCAAATGCAGCAGCCTATCGAGAGAGACTCTGCGTGACGTAATGACCAATGGGGGCAATTCGCACCCATATCGTCACGTCCCGCCAGAAAGGGCGTGGTCTCACCCTATAAATATGCTCGTTAGGCTGGTACAAGCTGGTTTTTATCGCTGAAGCGAACCAGAGCGTATTCCAAGCACGGCAAGATACGCAGTACTCGTTCCCTCTCTAGAGAGAACCGAGGTTACGTTAGTAACCGAGTACGTTCTATTACGAGAGTATCTCTCGTACTGCGTAATAGCTTTACGCTAGGGGAACACAATGCAACACGCCGTGCGTACAGGGATCCAACACCAAAGTCCCAAGGGCCGAAGCCCAGGGCTCATGTAGTGCATAATCACCATAAACTCACATAGAGTGGAGGAAGAGAGGCTGGAAGCGTCATTCCCTATAAAAAAGCACCCAGCGGGGCTATCATATGACAATAAAACGCGCAGCCAGGGTGAAAGCTTTCAGCCTGATCTGGGTGGCCATACGTGTGTCAACACTCATGGGGCTGCAGTAAACTCAGCATCTGGGCCGCACAGCGGGGCAGATAGCACTGAATTTTAGACCGCCAAAAGCTTAGCTTGTAAGGCGGGTACCTCCAGGTTATAGTATTTTATAAATGTAGACGGCGAGGCCCAGCCCGCGGCCGTACAGATATCTTGCAGGGAAACCCCGCTCGACCAAGCCCACGAAGAGGCCACGCCTCTTGTGGAGTACGCTCTGACACCCAAGGGGCACTGTAGGCCCTTTGCAGAGTAAGCGAGCGCAATGGCATCCACTATCCATCTGGATAGGCTCTGTTTTGAGGCGGCGAGTCCCTTGGAACGCCCGCCAAACAAAACGAAAAGCTGCTCCGTCTGTCTGAAAACAGACGAGCGTGACACATAAGCTCTCAATGCCCTGACGGGGGAAAGGAGACTCGCGTCCTCCTCCTCACTGAGAACCGGAAGGGCGGACAGGGAAATTACCTGGGCCCTAAACGGTGTATTGAGGGATTTCGGGACATACCCGTGCTTAGGTTTGAGAATGACCTTCGAGTCATTAGGCCCAAACTCCATACACGACGCGCTTACTGAAAGCGCCTGCAAGTCCCGTATGCGCTTCACTGAAGCGAGAGCCATGAGAAACACTGTTTTGAACGACAGGTGTTTCATGTCCACCAGCTGGATTGGCTCGAACGGGGCGCCTTTCATGGCCTCCAGGACCGTGGAAAGGTCCCACGTCGGGACTGAAGGGGGCCTGGGAGGGTTCAGCCTCCGAGCTCCCCTAAGGAAACGCACGACTAAGTCGTTTTTCCCCAGCGACTGGCCAGACACCGGTTTTGCAAACGTTGCTATGGCCGCCACATATACTTTGAGCGTGGATGGAGTCCTGCCCTTATCCAGTAGCTCTTGAAGGAAGGAAGCACTTCCGAAACCCCGCATTCCACAGGTGAAAAGCTCTGGGCTTGACACCATGCAGAGAAAACAGACCATTTCGAGGAGTAGAGCCGCCTGGTAGACGGAGCTCTAGCCTGCGCGATCGTGTTTAACACTCCCTCTGGGAGGCTAGCGGGTACCCGTTGATGGCCCATGCGTGCAGGGACCACAACTCCGGGCGAGGGTGCCAAATCGAGCCCTCCGCCTGAGAGAGGAGGTCTCTCCTCAATGGTACAGGCCATGGGGCAGTGCTGGTCAGCTGCATCAGGGTAGGGAACCACGTCTGGTTTGTCGAGAGC